GAAAGGGTCCGTTCTCTCCCACGTTTCCAAACAGTGAACTACAACCGGGCCCTCCATTCAGCCATAGGACTACCGGTGCGTTCTCGGGATCCTTTTGACTCTCAACGAACCAATAGAAGTAATGTTTGCCTTCAGTTATATCCAAATAACCGGAATATTGCTTAAAATTGATTGCCTTTGGGAGTCCGGGTAAGTCTTTTATCTCATCATCATTTGCTGCAAACACGAGAAATAGGTTTACAGAAAATATAACAAAAATGTTATAAATTGTAAAATGATTCATGTTTGGTTAATAATGATTTAGCAAACTTAAGTAATAAGTTTTAATATTTTAAAGGTGCCTTTTATAGCTAATGTTTGTATGTCTAATCATGTGAGTTGAGTTATTCTTGCACTTAAAATACATATGAGATTTAATGTCATTTCTTAGAATCTATTTAGATATTACAACCGGTCAATGTTACTGTCGTACTGCATGTGTCAATTGTATGTCAATTGTATGTCAATGAGATTAACACTTGATTTTCTATGAAGGGGTCTCATATATGATATGACCTAGGGACAACCATAGTAACGTTAGCTATTTTTATTAATACTTTAAAATCCAGTAATGTTTTAACCTGATAAGTTATAATACTACTCGTTTACCTTAAACCTATGAATATTTTATGAATAATTGACTTTTGTATAAAATTAATAATTAGATATAATAAATATAAAAAGCTAACGTTACTATGGTTGTCCCTAGCTCATATAGCTAAATAAATTGTCATTAATGTGTGCATTTTCTACTGTATAGCTTATTATTTCAAATCATAAGTAACTTTTAGATAATATCGACTTTAAAGATCTAAATATTCAATATACTCTTAACTTTCTCATTATATTCTTATAATTCAGACTACAATCAATACAAACTTGCTAAATATTTAATTATCAAATTCTTAACACAAAATAAAATATAATTCATTTTAAAATTATATAACACTTTTGTTTATTTTATTAATTTCATCATTAAAACTGTGTGATTCCGACCACATTCTTGAGTAACTGTAGGGCGGCCTCTGGTTTATCGTAGGGAACCATATGTCCGGCCCCGCGGACTAACACAAAACTCAGGTTTTTCTCATAGTTTTGCACAAATCCACCAATAAATCCATCAGGGGTTTTCCAGTCACTAAAATTAATTTATAGTTTAAAATCTATTTTCTGTATAAATACTATATTAGGTTTTTAATGTAGAAAATTTGATTACCTATAGTGACCAACTTTGTTAAGTTTTAAACTATCGATAAACCGTTGATTCTCGACGTGACCGCACACGGTATCAAAGTTTCCATTAAACACAACAAGTTTTCCAATTTTATACTCATTTAACAATTGATTGAAAACAGGTGTCTGGTCGGTGTCGCGGCCGGAGTAAGAGCCGCCACAATCGGCCCAATGTTTGGCGTCTTCCTTAACGTGAAGAGCTTTACGGACTTCAGGACTATTCAAATACTCTGGGTATCCATTGTATGGACACTTTAGTTCATTAGACCTTTCGCTAATAGGCTTTTTGTTCAATTTCTTTGCGTAATAATTGTTATAAAGTCTAATATAAGCTGAATTAGCGCCACAATCATCGTATATGTTGTATGGGTTAGGAGTATATATTTCCTCCAGGCGAACTGAACCACATGTCCTAATAATAGATATTTATACAGTTTATAAAATTAATAAACATTGATCTTATTATTTATAAAGAAATCTTACGAAGATTTTGTCGGGTGATAGAAATCGCATTCATGTAAAACATCTCCTGTTTTACATTCACAGCAATTCTCAATCTTCTTCTCATAGGACTCCGTTGTGAGCAACCCGTGGCCCAAATTAAAGTCATGGTTAGCCATATAAATGAAAGGTGCTTTTTCTGAACCGTAAGCTCCATTTCCAATGGCTACACCTTTTGTTTTAATATAAGTAAAATATTTTTATATTTGTCGAATATGTACTGTATGAATTGTGAATTTATGAATTACCTTTCAAATTAATTGTGGATTTATTGCTGAATATCTGTTGGGCTAACATTGGGATATAAATTCCGGCATAACTTTCACCCGTTATATAAAATGGGTTTTTCTTATAATTGGGATACTTTTCAAAAAACGCTTCGAGAGCTAAATGGTTGTCCTCTGCGGTAGACTTATCTGAGTTGTGATACTGTTTGTCGTCTTTATAACTAAAGCCGACACTAACCGGGGATTCAAGATATATGACATT